AGGGCTTCTTTCCGCAGGGGGCTGGGTGGCAAAGGCTGCCAGGGGCCAGGGGGTGGCTGCTTGGTCAATGTGGCTGCTGACTGCAGTGCTCTGTGTGGACAGCCAGTGTGAGTGGGGAAAGCAGTGGCTGCTGAGTCTGGCTGTGCTGGGGACATGGGGTGCTGCTCCTGTGGCGTGGGTTGCTGCCAGAGTCCCGAAATCACACTCAGCCCTTGCTGCAGCAGCAATGCTGGGTGGCATTGCTGAGATACAAGTCTTTGCTGCCGACTTGTATGACTAATGTCAAGAGAGGGCTTTGGTTTATGATTCTGGATTTCATCAAGAATCCTTCCTAAAGTCTAAATTTAAGCTTCTGCCTTCTGTCGGCAAGCTGGGGAGAGCTGCCTCCTCTGCCGCAGGGACTGCGCGCTTAATGCGGGTTAAGGAAGAGAGGCACAAAAATAGTGTGGCAATGAGTGACCACAGAAGCACCATAGTTAGACATGGTTTCTTTAGTGCCAGAAGCATGCAACTCATTTTGCCAGACAAGAATCTTCCTCCCAGAGAGGCTCCCAAAGAGCCTATCATCAGTTTTTTAAACTGTTTGCAGTTTGCTGGCTGAAGCTTTCCAGTGGAGTTGGTCTTGCCTAGGGGCTGTAAACTTGCAGGGTTGGAAAACACAGTGTTGATGTATTCTTGCCAAATCCAGCTTGTTCCTTGGATTGTTTCCTTCCTCTAATCACTGTTTATCTTTACATGGGCCAGATTGGCCCATTTCTTCCACTCTTTCACTAGTCTCTGCAACAGATATATGATCTCCGAAATTCTTTCTTTGGCTGACCACGATTCATTCATCAGGGAATAAATTTATCCTCTTTTTTGGAAATTAATTACCACTGAGTGAATTTCCAAAGGCAATTCTAACACCTCAGTCACCTTGGATTTCCAGGTGTCACACAAGCACTACCCTGTGTGCATCCAGGATTTCCTCTTTTAGCAAAGCATCTGCCACCAACATCCCACAAAAGCCCTAGACTCCAGCTTTAGGAGAGGAGTCAGATGCTGTGCACTTCCCCCAACTCTGGTAGGCACTGAAAAGAGCTACCCAAAACCTGCCCTCGGCTGAGTTTCTAAGCAAGGATTTTCACTGAGCCAACTGCATTTCTGATTTCTACTTTCTTTCTCATGATATTTGTTTTGATTCTCTCTACTGACCTCTGTTGCTCCTATACTCCCATTTGCTTAATGTTCTGTTATTGTTACTTACATTTCAGTATATATTCTGCTCTTAATAGGTAAGATAGATGAACAAAAGATTATCATCCCTTTTGGCAGATAAACAAGTGAGAAAGTGGGAAAATTAGGTTGTTCCCTCACAGATTGCAGCACAGTCACTAGGAGAGCCTCAGCCCCTTGCATTTGGTACACTGATCCTGATTATGATCCCATAATTTTCCACGTGAACCCATTCCAGTTTGTACTGATTCGGAAGAGATGAGTGTTCTTTAATGGTACCTCTAGCTGCCTGGGACAGCAATACTTTTATACTGAAGAGAGGGGAAGTAACTGGCCACTAAAACAACAGGAGGCAGATTCAGCCCTCACATAAGTGAAAGCAACTCTGTTTTGCCAAGCCTGAATTTGCCTCTGTATCCATAGCATTGCATTTTTTAAGTTCCTCTGGCCAGAATGAAAAGGGGTTTGGTAACCCAAAGAAACCATAAAGCCCAGCTCTGAACTGGCTATAACACAGCCGGCTGCCATCTATGACAGCTGGAGATCATTGGGCTGCGGACGCGGTGCCAGCGTGCAGATCCATCACCCATTGCCCCCCGCAGGGAAGCGAGGACCATCGCCAGACTATTCCCATCTTGCAGCCAGAACCATGAGGCTGAAGCAGCTCTGCTGCCATCTCACGCTGTGCTTCTTCTGGCCTGCCTCCCCCGAGAGCCTGCTCTCCGCCGACGGGAGCGGAAGCCGGGGCTGAGCACAGCAGTGCTGCACAGGGCCCCGTGGGCCACACCGTGGGAATTTTCACACATTAGCCTCTGCAGAACTCCCACTTAGGAATAGAAATCGCAAGTTTGGGGCAAAAAGCCTTTGCCAAGGCCCCTTAATTGGATGAGTTTGTATTCAATTTCCCGGTGGCTGTGAGGTATATTTATATACCATTTCCAACTTCTTTCCTCTTGAGCACATATTAAACATTTGGGTGTGCAGATCCTTATGGAAGAATTGATACGAAGAATTTATGAAAGTCTTGTAAATACTGCCCATGTAAGAGGGCACAGAGAGGGGTGATGTCCAGGCAGCTGGAATAAATGGGTGGGTTCCTGTCATTGCCAGAGTCATCTCTGCCAGCAATGAGTTAGACTTTATTCAAAACAGTGACATCAACTTGCAGGTAGTAAAAGCATAAAAATTTCTCGGGACTTCCCTGGCAGTGTTCAAGGCCAGGCTGGATGAGGCTTTGAGCAACCTGGTGTCTTCAAGGTTTGTTTAGGTGTCTTTAAGGTCCCTTGCAACTCAAACTCTTTTATGATTCTACGGCATCTGAAGCTGTCGTGAAATGCTTATGATATAATTGTGTTACCCTACCTGTGCTTTTTTCCATGTAAATAAAATTACTAAACTGACTTTTTTTACGTAATCTTCTTTCCCATTAAAAAAAAATAGAGAGAGGCACAAATGCAGCACATACAAATGCGACAGTATTTACAAAATTCAAAGCTCCAGCAAACATAAGACAGTGATCCAGAATAACTGATTCTCCAGAGAAAACAGGAGAAATGAAAAAAAAGATAATGATCCCTGTGATGCTGAGGCTGGCCATGAGCGAGAAGCAACAAAACCTCTCCGCTGACCTTGGTGAGAAGTCCTTCCTGTCCTCTTCCCTACAGCAGCCTCAGCCAAATTCAAAGATACCACAGATGGCAACATACCCCTTGTCCACAGCTCATAGCCAAAAGGCTACACCCTTTTGTGGTCTTGATTCCATTGGCCAGTGTGGTATCTCAATTTAGGCTCTTAGAGCCTTGTGAAAATTGTGGAAGGTGACTGCTGCACGTAGGAGGAATTTTCCTGTGCCTCATTTCCTCTCCAAGACACCTGCACTATGGAGAACTCTATAAAAGGCCACCATTTCATTTAAGAAAAAGAAAAAAAGAAAAAAAAAAAAAGAAAAAAAAGTAAATGCTTTCAAGAAAGGGTCTAATCAGATTCAGTTCCTTCAGTGCTTGCTGGAATAATCATGATGAACTCTGTCAGTGTTAATGGGGGTGTTATAAGTATCTGTGTAGGACTGCCTCTGTAATTCAGCATTAATTAGCTGAATCATTATTTTAGAGTGTTACTGAATTATCTTATAATTACTACCTAACTTGGTGCTTGTAAATGAGGCAACAGAAGGAAATGGCAATTCTTTTAAATGTACTTAAAATTAAGAAGGCATAATAAACACTCCATTCTGTCCTTTTGAGAAGATTTTTTATCTTCTGCAAGATGTAAGGCTAGTACAACTGCTTTCATCTATGCCTTGTAGATTTATTACAATCATTATAACAAATGGAAATGAATATTATTCAGGTTTATTACCCCATAGTATATCTTTATGAACATGCAGGAAACCATGTTGCTTCTTTATCCACTGCCCATAAAGAGAAAGAAAAAAAATCCTGCCTGGGAAAACAGACTATTGTGATTAAAAAAAGATCATTTGATTCTCCTAATATAACTGTTTTGCTAATAACTTATCTGCTCTGATTCCCAACACAATCAGACCTAATTGTTACTCACTAAGAAGCCTCATTACAGCTTGACTGGGAAGGTAGTTAGGAAATACCATGTACATTTTTGTTGTCACTGATTCTTCTCTGGAAGTGCTAATTCTGTGGTACAAAGTCTATCTCACCGTATTCCCCGGCCTCAAGTGTGCAGAAGCAAGGGGGAAGAAAGGGAATATACTTGTCACCAGGCAAATCAGAAAAGCTTCTCACGCCTCGCTGGTTTGGGTTCAGGAGCTTGGGATTGTCTTTGAACGCTGGGGGCAAGCACTTTTGCTCAGATTGTCACATGTTCCCAAAAGACTATTCTCCATAATTTTTCGCAGGATTTTTCAATGCCACAGACACATGTTTATAAAGTCATGAAGAAGCACGCCAAGCAAACTTCTCCTTATACTCAGGCTTTTACTGGAAAGTACTTTTCGTAACTTCTCTGCTCAGACTCAAAGAGATTGTCCAGGTCAACAGATCTGAGCTCTGCAAGACCAAAGGGGAGTCAATGTTGTGCAACCAGTTGTACCAGCAACCAGACATTTTTGGCGTGCTTTAGTTTTTCAGGGTGTATTCAGAGGTCTGCAGCAGGCACTCACAGTCTGCATTCTCTTACCACATACTTCTTATGCAGGACTCATAGCACACCTATAACCTCCATTTTCTTGATATTTTGCCGTCAGAGCTCAGGGCACGTTAGTACTTGAATTCTTTAGCATCTAAGTGGTTCTAATCGCAAACAAAAATCAATACATATACACATATATATACATACATATATATATATATATATATGTGAGGAATAGAGACACTTGAAAAATAGAGACACTGTTCACTTGTGGTGAACAGATTTCCAGCCTGACTATTCTCAAATACATTGCTTCTGCAACACTAAATATTATATGCAGTTTGAAATAGTGTAATAGTTTATTGTGGATGATTGCTGGGAGGATGTTACTGATAGAATGAAGGTATGAAACATTAAATCACACTTAACTTTTATATCTATGAAAAAAAGATGATGTTCATACCCTGGCATGTTTACTGCTTTGAGACGCAGCCTGTTATTTATTAGGGTTCACTCTGTAGTTCTTAGAAATGGCAGAATATTACTATTGTGATTGTTCTTCTTGCTAGAATCATGATGATATTCATGCTCTACACAGAGCAGTTTAAATCATGGGAAAAATGCATAGCATGGTTAAACAATATGGTGGCAAACATAGTCCACAAATAACCACAACTTACGTGTAGTACTCTTCAACACGTGCAAGGAGAACATTTTTCTTTCCTTAAGTTTCTCAACCCTCTTATCAAAGATCAGTCGATTAAAAATGTGTATCATAGTTGGTCTTCAAAAGCAACCTTCCAAATAGGCAGCAGCGGTCGATTATTAGGAAACACAACCTGAAAAGTAGAATATAAAACATTTGAAAGTTTAAATGATGGAAATATGATGGAAAAATTTTGGTTGGAAAAGACTTCAGGAACTGATCTCATTCTCAGTGCAGGACTAACTTTAACGTTTTGTTAAACGTTAACTAACTTTAACGTTTCATTAAGCGTTATATGAGACCTCAAGATCTCACATAAGCAATTTGCCTACTTCTCAAACTTTCCAAAGCTCCAAGTGGCAAAATGCATCTCTCTATTCAGCTTACATCCAGAACAACCCAGTTTGGGTGCATTTAGATTTGTAACTCCTACCTGCACTGCTAATATCAGCACAGCAGCAGTTTTACATATTAGCAAAGCTGCCAACCACCTTGAAGATCCCACTTCCAATCGTACATGACATTTCTGAACACTACAAAACATCTCCACAGTGAGTGAATTCTTCTCTTTGCTTTCATTTTAAAATACAAATTTCAGCTGAATTAGCTCAGCTGTTTCTAAGGAACAGACAAAAGAATAAGCTTTCTGCTGAAAAACCTAGTGCCCTCCCATAACTCTGGAGCAAGGACAAGAAACTCTGTCAAAGAACAGTTTCTCTGTGCAGTTTCTGTGCAGGTCCACCCACGTTTTGTTAAAGGATGAGCTCTATAAAAATTGTGATTGAATCCACTCAGTGTGGACTTGTTAAACTTTAACAGATACTGCCTGTGAGGATGCCAGACTCATGGGGTATGTCTGAACCTCTCTCCACTTTTATGGAGAGAGTCAGGGTGGGACTCCTGCACAAGAAAGACAGGAGTTGATCTGCACACCAATCCCTGCTGCCAGGGGATGAAAACCTGGTCACAGGGAGTGGCCAGGAGTTTGCTGTCACATGCACCATGTTGGCTGCAGGACATGGACACTAAGTGGAGGATGATAGAAAGTGGGTGGGGAGCAACTGTGGCACAGGGAGAAGGAAGCCTAGGACAAAAGTCCAGAGACTGCTACTAGTGGAACCAGAAGGAGCAAAGCATGGATGGGGAGGCTGGAGAGGGAAGAGAGCAGGTACCGAGCAAGGAGCCTATGGTGGGGAGTGGTACCTTGCTATCAAGCCTTGGACCAACCAAGTGGGCAGAGTCCAAGGGGTCAACACTGAGAGAGGGATCATGAAGTCAGGAATGAGCTAGAAAATACAAGGAAGGCAGAATAGTTTGCTCATGGTGCTCATCACTACCAGTCCTGAGTGCTCTACAAACATCAATGATTTCATTTTCACAGCATGTTGTGAACTGTGGTGATACTATTAACAACATTTTAAAAGAAAATCTAAAACCTGGGGAGAAGGAGTTCCAAAGTTTCTACTGTTCTTGTTGTCTGTTCTGAGTCATTATTTGTTTTTCTCAAAGCATTTACCACTACATATTTCAGGCATTCATAGTTCATTACAGATGTAGCTGTTCATATGTCTGAAAACCAGAAGCCACAGCCAAATGTCTGTAAAAGACTAAATTAAGGATAACCCGTGAAAAAATAGGTACAAGCAACTACGTAACATCCTAATGGGACTCTTTGGCAGAGCTGGAATAGGAACCAGTTCCCACAGTGCAATGCTCAGCTGAGGCTCCCTGTGCTCCAGACTTTCTAGCACGCCTCCACTTTCAGTTGGGCACCCTAGAAAAATCTGTCGTGGGCTGGTTTAGAAGAAGGAATTTTTCAAGATGGAAGGATAATTTAAAAAGTCATGAGAAGAAAAAAATGGCAGGAAATAGTATTAAAATGTTGACGAATATGCTTAGTTTTCCCTACTGCTCCATCATCTCACTGCTCAGTGTGACTTGTGACTCTAACTTTCTCCAGGAAAGGCACAACCCAGAGAGCTCTCAATGACATCTTCCCTGCTCCCATAAGCTATTTAGCCATCCAGAATAAATCTCCTGGGAGGTGTTTTTCTTCTCTAGCCCACAATTAAATGACTTCTTCTTGACTGCCTCTTCCTGTTTATGCATTCCTCCTTCCCAGTGATTGGGCTCGGTGGCTGAAGCGTCACGTCTTTCTGCAAGGGGTGACATCCTTCCTTCCCTCCCTCCTGAAAGTTACTCCCTTAAATTTTCTGCTGTGTATCTTAATTAGCACATTGCCATCTTTAGGCATCAGGACACTTTCTCCTACTTAAAACCTCCCTGAAATACAATCACGTTACCTTGCACATCATAGAGTATGAAAACGTTTAATGATGAAAGCTCTTTTTAAGGTTCAGTCTGTTGAACCTGATGAGATTTTTCAATACCCCGCTGTGTTAAATCTCCCCGTACACAGACAAATGGAACAAAAGGTTTAAGAACGAAATAGTTTAGGCTGCACAGTCGACATCTCAATTTGTTAGATTAGGGAAACGGTCTTGCACCTGCCCTGATTTTAGCACTGGGAGGTTAACTCTAGTTTCAAGGCATTAGCTTGAAAGCAAATAAAATATGTTTACTCAGTTAGGTTTGAACATGTGTTGCCTCAGTTGCCTGATAGCCTACCATGACATTTATAATCATGTTGATTCTTACTATTAGGTTAAATCTTTGTACTGTAACTTTTGTGGTATTTTTTTGTGTGCAAATGCCAAAGGAAAAAAAAAAAGGAAAAAATATGCAGAAGTACAGTATGTTTGATTTCTCTTAGATTCATCCAGTGTTCAGATAACATGGTCTTATTTCCTCTTGGGTTTCTTATTAAGAATCTCATTTTAGGAAACATTTTACATCCATTTCACACTCTTTCAGGCACGAAACTATTTGCCTGTGAGCTGGTGCCATCACTGAAAAAATCTTAATTCCTGATTTCTGATGATCTTTTTGTTGGGATTTACTGACAGCATCCATTGCCCATCTCAGCATTCCATTTCTGCAGAGTAGGGCAGCTCTTTGTAGCCCACCAGAAGGAGGTTCACAGCAAAAGTCAAACAATGGTTATCCTAAAAAAGTTTGTCTGACAGATCCTCATACGTCATTTCTTGGCATCTATCTGTCAAATTATTTGGCAGTTCTCTCCATATGAATTGTAGCAGTTTAGCTGTAACAATTTCCAGATCAAAGCTGTCAATCACTAAGCAATTCCCACAAGGACATGGAAAAGGACCTGACAGGAAAATTAGCTAAAGCTGCAATAATCTAGAAGATGTGAAAAAGGTTGGAAAAAAGAATTCCCAAGTTATACGGATTGAAGTTCAATTATTGTTTTCCTTGGTACAATTTAAGACAGTGAGCTATCATAGCCAATAGATCCGCAGGCAAAAATCTAGAAAGTGAATTGCAATTCATCTTTTTCCTTGGCATTCCCTCCTTTTCCAATTAAATATACTTTTCTTTTCTTCTCCATTATTCTGAGGAGGCAGTAAACCTCAGTCTAAATGAGCATTTACATGAAAATCAGAGCTCTCCAAGGCATCCACTGAAACTCCTTTAATACAATATTTGCTTTAATTTGATTTTCTTTCTTGCTTGTGGGAGAGTTTTAATCACATTTGGTATGATTTATAATTGTATGCCCCCTTGTCCTGCAGAGGTCATTCCTTTCCTAAAACTGCATCATTTGACTAGAAAGAATTCCTTTTACAGCTCAGCAATCAATACTGTCCACAGGTGATAGTGAGCACAGTGCATTTTTTTTAAGAGTCTCTCAAATGTCAAAAACCTCACTTTAATCTCCAAGAAATACAATCTGTTTACATCACCTGCAGCCTCTTGGTTGTCTCCTTCAGGAAGACTTTCTTGGGCTCACTGAATAATCTCTTCTACTTTATTTTATGAAAAATCCAGCTTCATCATATATATTTCAAGCAAGTTTTACCTTCCTGAATACAAGTGAATCAGGGAATCATATTTTGTGATACTCCTTTATTTATCTCTCCAAGATATAAAACCACATACAAAGGGTTAGGATGCAAGCATCTTCTTAGATATGCTTCCATGATATTGATCTCACTTTGTTTTATTAAAATAATCTGCCACATGCTATTGAAACTGTCTTTCAAAGAAACAAATACTTCTTCTAAAGAGGGTACATTGAGGAAACATATTGCTCAAGTTATTAAAAATTAGCATTTAGCATTGTATTTATACAGGTACACTAAACCTTTACCAAGCATAGCATGATGTGCAACAAAATAAAAGCTAAAATCATCAGCAGAAGAGCCAAATTCTAGTATACAAAATAACTAATTTTTCTATTGCTAATCTGTGCTATGACATGCCAAAGCACTACCATGCCTGATGGAATACTGAACTCAAAGTTAAAAAAAAAAAAAAATTATGTAAAATACATATTCTGGGTCAGATTTTCTGTCCCCACATTTATCTCCACATATTTTGTTGCATGTCTACATGGTATTACATAAATATTTCATTAATTCAGTAAAGTAAGCACCTAGACACCTCTGTATGTGTATCTTCTGCTGAGCTGTGTGTGGTTTTGTTCTTACTGATCAGCCATATAACTGATAGAAAAATTAGGGTTCATCTCTTTCAGTCAGTGTGTATCCACATGATCTTGGAGTCTGAATTTTGTTAAGTTCCTCTTCCTTACAATCTGAAGCTCTTAACAAGTCGTTATTTATCTCCTAAACCAAATGATTTCCATTATTCACCTATCTCAGCTTCAGGACTTAGAGCTGTGGGAAAACCCAGATGATTTCTACATAGTTCTTTGGCTTCTTCTGGGGAAATTTGGGCTTTCTTTCAGAAACAGTGTGCATTACCCAGTCTCAGGTCAGCTATTCCATCTGAGTTATTCACTGGCTTAAAAGCGTTTCCCTCCCTATGTTGTAAATTATATCAGCCTTTCCAATTTTTTTTTCCTCTTCTTACTCTTAATAGAATATCCTTACAAGAAAGACAACAAACTTTGCATGTGAGCATTGCATGAAAAAAGTAGTACATAGACAGTTAACCTTTCTCCAGAAACCAGGTGAGGGACCAAAGTATGGCTCCTCATGAGTTAACATAGTCTGTAAAATAAATGAATATGCATTTCTGTAATGTATG